AGTTTTTACCAAATACTAGGAAAAAAAATCTGTTGAGATCAAAAGGATATAAAATCTTATTAATAAAGAGAAGCTAATTCACAAATTTTCATAGACCTCTAGTTTAACATTAAAATTTTACCTTATAGTAGCCTATAATTTACTCTCAAAGGTCCACCACAACAATTATTTAATATTCTACGAATATCAAAGTTTCATTCTTTTTGTGATAACAGATGCAAAAATCTTAAACAAAATATTAGCAATTGATATACAAGAGATAACAAACTATATCCAAATTTGGTTTATTTCTAAATGCAAAGTTTGATTAACATTTGAAAACCAATGTAATTTGCTATAACAGAATAGAGAAGGAAAATATATAATTAACTAAACAGATGCAGAAAAAGCATTTGATAAAATTCAACACCCAGTCACACGAAAAAATATTAGCAATCTAGGTATAAAACAGACCTCATTCGATTTGATAAAGTAGCAACAAACCTCTACAGCAATCATCATACTAAGAATAAAATACCAGAAAAGGGAATAAGACAAAAATGCCGCCTATCATCCCCTCCTATTTATCATTATACTGAAGGTCTTAGCAATTATTATAAGGCAAAGAAAATAAATGAAAATTAAAAGGATTAGAGCAAAAAAAAATGCTAAACTATGTTCAAACATCATGATTGTGTACCTATAAAAATCAAAAGAATCCACAGGAAAATTATTCAAATTATACAGTGAATTTAGCAATGTCACTGTATCTAAGATGAATAAGTAAAAATTGCATTTTTATATACTAATAAAGTAGAAGATAATTTTTCAAAAGATGCCATTCATTATCATTGTATCAATAAATATCAGATATCCAGGAATAAATCTAGCAAAAGATATACAAGATCTCTACACAGAAAATGATTCTCTCCATATTTTGAATGAATGAAAAGATATGCCAGGTTGGTAGACTGGAAAACTTAACTGTAAAGATGTCAAATTGTCCCAGATTTCTTTATAGGTTCAATTAGATCTCAATCAAAATCTCACTTGTTAAAAGTGGTAACTAAAAAATAGATTCTAGTATTTGTATGGAAATCCAAAAGACCTGGAATAGCCAAAATAGTCTTGAAGAGGAACAAAGTTGGAAGATTTACAGTGACAGATAATCAAGACTTACTGCAGTTATTAAGACAGTATTAGCATAAAGACAGACAAAAATAAATGCAGAATGGAGAAGAATGCTAAATCAGATACCACACACAGAATCACCTAGTTTACAACAATTCAGAGAAGGAAAAGAGGACTTTTCCAATAAATGATGCCAAGTCAACCATATATTCACATGGGAAAAAAAAGAATCCTGACACTTGATCTTACAAATACATAAATATTAAACTCAGGGAAAATATAAATCTAAATGTGAAAGGTAAAATGATAAATCTAAATATATCCACAAAAATACAGCAGTATATTTACGACTTTGGAGTAGAAAGATTTGTTTAAAGACATAGACAGGCCGGGCG